GATAGCTTAATAACCCTCACCAGCAGTCCCCCTTCGAAGCCCAATTCTCCCGATTGGCTCGATTTTCCTGATTTGGGTCTGAACTTGAATCTCCTGAAATTCCTGCCCCCTCCTCTGTTCGGCTTCGTTCTGGTTCCTGCCTTGGCCCAGGAGCATTTCTGCCACTCCCCTGGCAATTGCCTTGCAGTCCCTGGGCAAGCAGCCCAATCAGGTCTGCTAGGTACACACAGGTAGGTTCTCACTGCATGGCACATTTGCACAGTGTGCCGCTAAACTCCCCCATCCCCAGCCCACTTGTGTTCCACAGTCTCTGCAGGGGTTGAGCAGTGCCTCCTGTTAGCCAATCCCTCAGCCAAGTGGGCCTGCTCTGCAGTGTGGCCACAGCACCTTTCTTCTCTGCTTAAGCATAGAGGGCCACAGAGGCCAGCGGCGGCAGCTGCATGTCCTTCTGCACCTGGAGGTCCGAAATTGGAATGCTGCCTATGGCAGATTGACCTGCACTGTCCGTGTTCCATCTCGCCAGCTATCCAGCTAGTGCACGTCCCACTGGCCCCTGCCCTGCTCCAATTGCTGCCTGAAATTCACTGCGGGAGTTGCGGGTACATTATGCCCACTCATGAATGGCCAGCGGCCCCTCAGCACCTGTTGCGTGTATGAGTGCCAGCGGGCTGGGCTTTTTCTTTTCTCTCTAACCAAAATCTGTTTGGTGTAGTTGCTTTCAATTCAATGTAGTTTCTTAGAACTTACAGGTCAGTCAACTTCAGAAATGCAAATCAGAGCAGAGCTACAGTGTCCCAGGACGCCCTCTGGTGCTACACCAGTGACACCTGGCGGCCAAACGTCATCACTATATACTAAAATTATCTCACAAACCAGCCAGCCATACCTTTCTGGTTACCTAGGACACTCTCCTAAGATTTTTATCTGAGTAAAATTACATAACTTTACACTGATAGATAGATAAATCAATCAATCAATCAATCAATCAATAATTTTTTTTTAGAATTTGTAAACTTTTTCTAGAGCAATGGCAGATAATATTACCATGCAGGAAATTAAAAACTTTCTCATTTGTGCAATGGATGGAATTTTAAAAGAGCTATGCGACCTACCTGAGATGTACAAATTTTTAGCTATAGTTGCTATCAGTCTCTCAATTCACATCATATCCTTTAAAAATGGTTTAATAACAGAACCAAAGATGAAAAACTAATTGATATGATACAGACTTTGCAAAATGATAATGATAAATTGGCTGAAAAAAATTTTTCCATTGAAAATAATAATGACAAATTTGCTGAAAATTTTATTTCATAAAAAATGATACTGATAAATTGGCTTAAAAATTCATGCCATGGAAAACGATAGTGATAAATTGGCAGACAAAGTTATTCCATGGAATATGGTAGTTATAAATTTGCAGACAAAATTTATTCCATGAAAAATGCTTAAGGGAAATTGGCAGATAGATCATTGCTTTTGGAAGGCAATTTCCATGCCATACAGACAATCTCTAAGGATGACAAAGTAGCATTGATGGATAAGACAATATCTTTAGAATTACACACGATTGATGAAAACAAGAGACTGATTGATCTAATGAAGTCTTTGGAAGCATTCACTGTTCAAGAGGTTCAGACCCTACAGAAGGCAGTTACAAGTAGATTCCAAGCCTTAGAAGAATTTGTAAAAACTGATAAAAGAGAGTTAAGGTACAGATGAAAGAAGTTACAGTGGATTTAACTTCACCAGTACCTTACACAGTTAGAGATGAGCTTCCTAGATTGGTCAGCTCACCTGCTCTTATTAATCCTGTGAACTGTTTTTGAAATGTCAGTAAATCATAATTATCTAGAATGATATTCAGATTGTAAATGGGAACCAATACATATGAAAGATTTAAAAGATATTAAGGAGGCAATAGTCTCCTATGATACGCATTCAGCATCTGTAAAACAGATGCTGAATAGATAGTCTTCTGGGAAGACTCAAAATCACTCAAAATGACTGAAATCAATTAGTCTCAGCAGTTTTAGAATATAGTCATCAGTACAATGGAAAAGTTGGTTGAGAGAAGAAGCTAAGGCCCTTGAACAGCAAGGTAAGATTAGATAGAGGTTTTGAGATTTCCCACGATAAAATACTTGGTGAGGGCTGTTTTGCTAACATAAATAAGCAGGCTGCCTTTGATGAGCACATCTTGTCCCCATGCCATATGGCAGCCTGAAATGCTTAGGATAAGATTCAAGAATCAGGAAAAAGAATTAAGCCATTTACTAAAGTGATACAAGGCTCAAAAGAACCCTTCACTGACTTTTTGCAAAGATTGACTGTAAATAGAGCATTATCAGATCAAGAAGTTATGTGAGTACTAGTTTGAATCTTTGGCTTTTGAAGATGCTAATTTACAATGCAAAAAGATAATTGCACCTTGAAAAGTCAGATCAACAACCATAGAAGAATGGATCCAACACATAGGCAATATTGAGTCTCATAACTATAGTGATGAGGCTTGGATAGGAGAGATTATTTCCAATGGCCTAAAGAGAAATCAAAGTGCCAAATGTTTTAATTGTGGTAAAGCAGGCCATATAAGAAGAAATTGTACGCAGGGCATTCCTAAGAACAATGTTTCTTTCTAGGAATGACCCCAGTAGAATGAATGCTCCAACATTCTGGATTATGCAGAAGATGTGGCAAAGGCCAACATTGGATGAACAAATGCAGATCAACAAGGGATAAACAAGGCAACCCTTTACCACTGGGGACTTCTTTGGGTGGCCTCTTGCAGTCCCTCAAGTCAAACTTGGTCCAGTCATTTCCAGACACAGGATCAGATGTGACTATAATTACACCAGAATCATGGCACCTGAATTGGCCTCTTCAGGAGTTAGATGTTCAGTTCCTAGGGATTGGAACCCTATCTCAGGTAAAACAAAGCACAAGATGGGTTGAATGCATAGGGCCAGAAGGACAGAAAGGAAAGTTCAGGTCATATGTGGCCAATGTAGCAGTGAATCTATGGGGTCTTCATCTGTTACAGCAATGGAATACCCAGATTAACATTCCTCCAATCTCAGAAACAGACCATAAACCAATTCATGTTTCTAGGAATAGTATTATAAGACACTATAAAAAACAGTCACTGGCCATTCAGGGTGTACAAAAACAGGGCACAACAGCTATTGAACTCTCAGAGGTATTAACAGCCCGACTTTTAAAATGGTTAACTGACTGGCCTATGACATTAGAGAAACTACAGGCCTTAGAACAGCTGGTTCAGAAGCAGCTAAATGCTCAACATATTGAAGACTCTACCAGCCCCTGAAATTCTCCTGTATTTGTTATTAAAAAGAAATCTGGAAAATGGAGAATGCTGAGAGATCTGAGAGTCATAAGTAATTGAGTGAGTAAGTAATTGAGCCTATGGACTCTCTACAGCCTGGAATGCCTCTGCCTCCTCTGTTACCTAAAGAATGGCCTATTATAGTTATTGACTTAAAAGACTTAAAGACTATGTTTAAAAGATTTCTGATTTGATTTTAAAAGAAAAATTAAGACTTTATAAATTGATAGGAATGGACCCAGCAGAAATTGTTGTACCTTTAATTAATGAGGAAATTTCCTTTTTGTGGAAATATAATGAATATTGGAAAAGAGTTTACAGTAATTTTTTGGGAGAGATTAAATAATTATTCCAAAAATGAGAGATTTAAATTCATAAAAAGAACCAGTTAGGTCCTTCCTCACATTGCACAGAGAACACCAACCTCTGGAGTCCCTACATTCCTTCTTGATGCAAATAAATCAGGAAAGACAGGATATAAATCAGGAAATTTAAGTAAAGTGGCTCAAAGCCCTTACAATTCTATGCAAAAGAAAGAATTGTATGCCATTCTTATGGTACTGATCTACTTACAGAACCTCTCACTAAAGTTGCTGGCTCTCCATATGCAGAAAGAGTTCTTTTACATATTGAAATTGCTGAATTTGTTCCTGACAAATCAGAATTAACTTCCTTACATATACAATTGCAGAAAATAGTCAGAATAGAAATATATATAAAACACATCAGATCCCATACGGATCTGCCAGGTCCTCCAGCACAAGGTAATGATGAAATTGATTGCCTATTAATAGGAAATGTTCTGGAGGCCTCAGAATTTCATAAATCACCATGTCAATAGCAAAGGTTTAAAAAAAAAGGATTCTTCTATCACTTGGCAACAATCCAAGGAAATCATTAAAAAAAATGTCCTAGTTGTTCCTTCTATAACCAAACTCCATTACCTGCAGGAAGTAATCCTAAAGTTATACAAAGTTTGCAAATGGTTGTGTTTCATTTTGCAGAATTTGGAAAATTTAAATCTGTACACCATACAATAGATATGTTCTCAGGATTTCAAAGGGCAACTGCTTTGAGTTCTGAAAAGGCTGATTGTATAATTACACACCTATTAGAAGTTATGACCACAATGAGTATACCTGTCTAAATTAAGACTGATGATGCTTCAGCATGTGTTTCCTGCAAAATGATAGTTTTTGCATATTATAATATAACGCATATTACAGATATACCACACTATCCTACAGGACAAGCAGTTGTAGAAAGAGCTGATCATACTTTAAAAGAAATGCTTAAAAACAGAAAAGGGGAAACTAAAATCCCCAAAGATAGACAGTGTAATGTCTCAATAACCTTGAATTTTCTTAATGCTAATGAGTAAGAAACAATAGCTGTGGAGAGACATTGGACAACAGAAAAAACTACTGAGTTAAATCAGTCTGTGTACTTTAAAGATGTGTTGACCTCAGAATGGAAACCAGGATATGTGTTATATTGGGGAAGGGGTTTCACTTTTGTTTGCACAGAAGAAGAAAAGCAATGGATACCATCAAAATTAGTAAAGATTTGATTAGAACAGGAGAAACCTCTTAATAAGGGGAAGTGATAGCTCATCCACAATGTGACAATTCTACAAGTTGTAAGGAAAACTCACCAAACAAGGGTCGGGGCAGGATTCTGTTTTTGTCTTTACAGAAAAATTGAAATACTCATCTTCAATAAATCGAAAAACCTTGGATATCTAGACATCTAAAGAAGAAGAAAAGACATCCAGAAAAAATTACCAAGTAAGGAAAAACCAGACCTAATGGTACCAATATTCTCTACAGGGTAAAATCTCATTACCTAAACATCCATATCCTTTACTTCTAAGAAAAGTTGTAGTCCTAACTCAAGTGTAAATCAAAGCTGGCTTTGGAATTGGAGCATGGCTCTCTTCTCCTCTAAATCCAAGCATGTATTTAAAAGAAACAATTAAGAGTTTCTGTCTCATATTAGAAGAGTTACATGGTGTGGGACAGAAGAAAACCAAAGATCTAGGGACTATTGTTGTCAAAATTCTATTCCTCCCCATACTTATTCTTGACTCTTTGGAAATTTTCTTTAGATATATAGTGCTTTCCTAAAATTTAAATTTTCCATTTTGATATTAATATTGTTTAAGTTTTCCATAGTGAACAATAAATTTTTATAACAGTGATATCTGAAGTATCTAGAAAGAAGATGGGGCTGCATAACAATTCTACCTGGTCCGTAATGATGCCATTGATCCAATAAACATTACTCAAAGATCAGCATTGGACTACAAACTGTTCAGGACAGTTCCACCTGAGATGGTCCACCATTTTATTTTTTACCTCTAGCCAGAACTTCAGATAAGCTTTACCAATCACTCTGAGACTGACTACAAATGATATAGCTAGTCCTAATGAGACTTAATCATTGTTTTAGTTTTTTACAGGATCCCATAGAGATACCATTGCCCCCTAGATAGCAGGAAGCATTTCTAAGAAGAAGACGTCCCCTCTCCCAACAGGTTTTTGTTTTCTCAGAGTTATGGATAATTGTCATGTGTTAGTGGTTGGTTATAAGTTGTAATAGTGTTGGGAGTGAAACAATAGAGTTTAGGCTCAGGAATCTCTTTTGGAAAAGAAAAGGGGAATAGATAGAATAGAATAATAAGGTAGATTATTGTATCTACTTGTAAACTAATTTAGCAACTATCAGCTTTAGGTAATTTGCCTTGGTATGGATTCTTGTATATTGATACAAATGTAAAATTATTTTTCTATTCCTGTTTAAGATAATTTATATATTGATACAAATACAAAACTGTATTTGTCATATTGTACATATGTTCCTACTCCTGTTCAAAAAATTTTTTTGTATAATTGATATAAATGTAAAATTATTTTTGTCAAACTGTTTGTATGTTCTAGTTCTATTTAGGATATTTTGTATATTGATACAAATTAAAGTATTGTCATATTGCACTATACATTTCTACCTATGATTAAGATTTTTGTATATTGTCACAAATTTGAGATCATTGTCCTTATACTGTACATCTGTCTACAAATTATTTTTATAATGTCAAGCCTTAGTCTTTAAGATATTTAGGTTGGTAAGAATTAAAGGTTAATATTCACCCATACTTGTCATACTTATAGCCATGTTAGTTATGTTTTCTAGATATACAGAAATATACGTCAGATGGATAGGTAATCTTCAAACACTTCATAGACCTAGAGAATATGGCATTTAAATGTTTTAATAACTTAGAATTCTGTTGACCTGAGACACAATTGCTCCTGGTAGCACTGATCTACTTCCAAGAGGATGATGGGCATATGGAGTTTGTCTTCTTCTTGGCAAAAGTAGCCCTGTTGGGCAAAGAACTGCCCTGCTGACAGTAAGCATGCTTTCCAGTCCAGATGAGCAGGACAAAGGAAAAAGCAACTGCCAAGTCTTGCCAAGACAGGGTAGGACAGTCTTTCAAAATTTCCTGCTTCTGAATATGGTCTCATATATTCTAGGCCTGTATCCAATAGTGGTTGCCCCAGTGTTGCAGAGAAACATTGGGTGAATGTCCAGGCAGCCAGCTGTTTCGGTCATATCTTGCATGTTTTTGAAGTTGTTTGTTTATACTTCCAACTTACTCAGGTAATATTATTTTCCTTCTTAGGTCTTTGATGGGGTTGAAGACTAGGTAATTATAGTTACAATCCTCTCATATTTTAACTAAGAACATTTCAGGTACATGATTTAGATTCTTCATAATAGGACAGATATTGGAGTAATCTCTGTAAATTGCCAATTATCTTTGGCCTGAACATTTAGTATATGCTTCTTGCTTGATGTTGTTTTTGTTGGTTGTATAGTTCCATTTTTGTTTATCTTATTACCTTTTCTCTCTTCTAGACAATACTTGATAATTGTTCTTTTTGTATATAACTTTGTATTAGGTTTAGAACCTTCTTATTTAGACAAAAAGGGGAAATGTGGGAATTCACTCACTAGAGGCCTTGGGATATCTGGCCCAATAGAGGTGTGGTTTTCTCTGGATATGTGACTGCTTAAAACTGAAGAGGGACCATGCACTCATGCTCTCTTGAGGTGGCTGGAGACCAGACAACTGGTTACATACTCCCCTGGGCAGAACTGAGGATGACAACAGCTGTTTATACTTTGTTCTGTATCCATGAGTGTATTTCTCCCCATTTTATATCTTAATAAATCTACTGATACCCTTTAACAGACTCTCGTGGATTTGTATAACAGTCTGGTTTCTGTGGGTGACCAGCAGTCTCCATTGCTGCTTCTCAGGATTCATGGGAAAACATCTCTCCATGCCTATAAGCTATGTTTGAATGAGTCTTACATCTCATAAAGGAAAGTTAAATATTGAGAGGAAAAAAGACATTTTGTGATATTTTCTCTCTCCTTTCTGTTTATTCACTTGGTAGCTGTTCTGCATCTTCTAATTTTGATACAAGAAAAGTTCCAGATGATTTCTGAAGAATCTCTTTATCCTATGGTTTCACATTGCTCAACCAGATCTGCTCACCATTGAAGCATAACAAAGAGCCCTGGATGGAAAAGGTAGCAGCAACAGTAGCTAAGAATCCAGGTATGGTCAAAGGATCAAGGAAGTCATAGGGAGGAGCTCAAGGGATAGGAGAAACAGGACATGAAAATGCAAGACTATATTTCATTTAAAATGTTTCTAAAAAATTCCACTGAGTATAATATCAGATTATTTCTATTGTAGGTATTAATTCCTATTGTAGGTATTCTATGTAAGTATTAATATACTCAGAAGCAAATATAATTTTACTAGACTTTGCATGTGAGTGATGCTGTCCCTCTCCTATTCACATTGCTGATCATGTCTTCATATGAATATTAAATGTTTTCATCATAATTTTAATATAATGTTTAGATAGAATAATTGATGCCTCTTGGCTTTTCCTGCTCTTAGAGTTTTGGAGCATTTTGTAGTTCTTTTATGTTCTCTATATTTAAGGTTAATTTCTCCATTTCCTAAAATAATGCCAACAGGATTTTGATAAGATTTGCTTAATATATCCCAGCACTTGGGAGGCAGAGCCAGGTGGATCTCTGTGAGTTTGAGGCCAGCCTGGTCTGCAGAACGAGATCCAGGACAGGCACCAAGTCTATGTAGAGAAACCCTGTCTCAGAAAACAAATAAAGAAAAAAAAGGTTTGCTTAATGTCTTTACAGAGTATTAAACTCCATCTATATTGTGTTCCTGTTGATATCCTATTTCTTCTGTCTTCATGTCAGCTCTTAATGTTTTGTGTTGCTATAATTTTAAAACATTTTAAAAATTAACTCTTGGTTTGAACCTTTTCTCAAAATTTTTGACCTCTTCATGGTTTTGCACAATATTACATATTTTAGGAAGATTTCACTTTTTATGTTAAAAAATACCTGTAGCATTTTTTAGTTTAGATTCTTACAAACATGCTTTCATATTCTTCATATGTTTGAATGAGAACTTGCCGTTAGTAATTCAGTGTTCACATGTCTTTTATGTATTCTTCAATTTTCTGAATATTGTTGCTTTTAGCATTCCAAGTTCTTGAAAAAGACATTTGATTTTTCTGTTTTTCAAGACAGGGATTCTCTGTGTAGTCTTGGAGTCAACACTTCCCCATTTTTCTTCAGTACTCAAAAGTGAATTCACGTATGCCCTTGGGGATTTGTTGTTGTTGCTGTTATTTTTGAGACGAATTTCTCTCTATAGACCAGAATGACCTTAAACTCACAGAGATCCACCTGCTTCTGCCTGCTGAGTGCTGAGATTAAAGGCCTGCACCACCATTGCCTGGAGAGAACACACTTCTTAAACATTGCTATTTACTAGGATTAAGGAACTATTTTGATTTTTACATTTGTTTGTTTTTTGGTGTCTTTGTTTTTTGTCCTTTTGAGAGGCTTTCTCTCTGTAGTCCTCTGACATGACTGTTGCCCATTGAAATCATAGTTTGAATTAAAGACTGAAAGCATCACCAGGCTATTAGAGTGAACAAAATCACTTAAAGGCAGTTTGAGTATTTGTATATGTAGCAAAATGTCAATAGTTGATTCCCATCTAGGGCTTGTTTCCTTCCTCATTATTGGCTTTGGTGATGTTCCTATTACCACCTATGTATTTACTTCAGTGGGCCAGCCTCAGATTGAATCAGAAAGCCTCTGTTACCCACAAAATAGTCTTGTCTCTATGACACCCATGCATATGCCTTCCTTGGGAGGTTAGGATTGTAGCACACAGGATGCAAAGCTGGTAGGCCATGGAAAACTTCCTCCCCAATCCAAGCTTGCATGTTTTTTGACTCTCTGAATGCTACCAACAGGGACTCCAAGATATTCCTAGGCACTGTGAATGGTCTGTTGACTTCCAGCATATTCTTGTTTGTATGAATAAACAAGAGCAAAAAAACCAACTAAGTGATGATCAATATAGATTATGTAGCTTATTGAGAGGGCTATCAGATCTGAGCTTTCCTGTAGGTATTTATAGTCTTTAAGTTGCAGAATTATATTTTTTCTGTAGGAGGTCCAGTTGATTCTCTCGTTCTCCTATATTGTTTCCTATAAATTTTTCTCTGTCATTCTTGAACTGTCTACTCACTGACTCTTTGGGTTGAGATAAGATGGAGGGACTGAACACCTTTCTCTGTTCTGATTAGAGCAAAATTATTCCAGCTGTCATTTTTTAGTATTATGTTATAGTATTTAGTTTGTATCTCATTCTGTTTATTATGCTGAGGTATGTTGCTTCTGTTCTCACATTCTTCAGAGCATTTATATGGAGCTAATGTCATATTTTGACCTGGGTCTTTCATGGATCTATTGACAGTCATGTTTCTTCTCTCGCTGAGTCTACATTTTTGGTGTCTTACATTGATTAATTCATAGGGGTTGAAATGGTTTTTCATTCTTGGCATTAAATGAGCTCACATTCCATTTCTATGTAATTTATAGACAATTTCTGTGTCCATGTCAATCCTGGCAACTGGTCTCTGCTTTTTCCTTGTGTATATTTTTTGGGGGCTCACCAAATTTGGGTGTCGAGGTAAAGCCAGCTTTGTATGGCAGCTGAGTAAAGTGACATCCTCAGAGAGAGAGAGAAGTTTTTCTTGATATTTTCTTTATCCTTCAAGTTTATTCTTTTGTCAGTTGTTAGCATCTTTTATTTTTGTTCCGTGAAAAGTTTTAGGTGACTTCTGAAGAATCTCTTTCTCCTGTGCAGGGCTCACATTGCTCAGTGAGTCCTGCTCACCTGTGAATCAGAACAAAGAACCCTGGATGGAGAAGAGAGAGGAGACAGTAGCAAAGGATTCAGGTGTGCTAGAGGGTTTGAGGAAGGGGTGAAGGGATGGGGAAGGGCTGAAGTGACAGTAGAAACAGTAAATGAAGTTGGTTTTGCCAAATTCTATTTCATTATAAACAATTTCAGTGAATTCTGATGAATAAAATCTCAGGATTATCTTATTGTAGGTGTTTGAATTATCAATAATTATTAGTACTCAGAGGCAAATACAATTTTTTTGACTGTGCATGGGAGTGATGCTGTCTGTTCTTCATTTACATTGCTGCTTATGGGTTTAAACCAATATTATATAGTTTCATTACTATAATTTTTTACAGTATTTAGTTAGAACCATAGAAACCTCTTGGTTTGTCCTGCACACAGAGTTTTTGGAACATTTTGTAGTTTCTTCAGGTTCTGTGCCTTTTAGGGTTACTTTCTCTATTTCCCAAAATAATACCTATAGTATTTTGATAAGATTAACTTAATATCTCTGCCAAGTATTAAACTCCATCTACATTGTCTTCTCTCTGGTATCCCCTGTTGTCTTTCTCAACACTCCACAGCTTGCTTGGCTACTATAACATGAATCTTAGAAGGTCTTTTAATAAAAAACCCGGAGTCAGATATTGGGGTGAAAGTTGAAAGATCAGAGAAGCAGAGCAAGGCACAGCCAACCTCACTTTGCCAACTTCTCAGCCAATCCTCTTTCCACAAATCCTCAGACTGAAAGCCTCTGAGTCCTCACCCAAAAGGGTCTCAGGTGAACTGCTGTAGTTCCTGTTTCCTTGTGCTTTATATACCTTTCTCCACCCTGTTGTCACTTCCTGGGATTAAAGGCATGTGTGCTTCCCAGTATTGGGATTAAAGGTGTTTGCCACCACTGCCTGGCTCTATTTCCAGTGTTGCCTTGAACTCACAGAGATCCAAGTGGATCTCTGCCTGTGGAGTGATAGGATTAAGAGTGTGTGCCACCACTGTCTGGCCTCTGTGTCTAATCTAGTGGCTGGCTCTGTCTTCTGATCCTCAGGCAAGCTTTATTAGGACACACAATATATCACCACGGAGTATAATTTTTATATATTTTGAAATTGCCTCTGTGTTTGATCTTTCTCTCATAATTTTTGGAGTCTTTGTGTTTTCTCAGTTTTATAAATTTTAAGAAGATTTTATATATATATATATATATATATATATATATATATATATATATATATATATATGAATATCTATAAGATCTTGGTACAAATTACTTAGAATCTTTCTAGAACATAAACATCCTCTGCAGTATGCAGTCAGTTGTTCACAGTATTTAATGAGTTAAGAGTCTCTGAAATAACTGCTGTCCATTGAAAACAAAGTTTCTTAGACCCAGGCTGAAGGCAACACTAGGCTATGGTGTGATCAGATTCAATAAAAGGCAGTTTGAATATTTGTACATGTAGCAGAATGTCAGTAGTGGAGTCCCTCTTAGAGTCTGTGAGCTTCACCATCTTGGCTTTTGGCCAGTGTCAGGTTGTGTGGTTTGGTGGAAGAGGAGGAGGATGTCTGGCAAGCCTGGGATCAAGGAGATGGGGGTGCAAAAGAAAGAGTGTTTCCTGCTTTAGTTAAACGGTTCCTTCCCAGCTAGGGGATGGAGCAGGCTGGTACCACTAGGAAGCAGTGGGTATGGGGAATACCCCAAAAATACAGATGCTAAGGCTGTTCCCCTCTTCTAGCAATAGAGACAAGATGAAAGGTGGGTCCCCAGTACTCTGTCAGGACCAAAAAATTGGCCCTGAAAGAAAGAGATGGTTTGCACTCATGCTGTGGTGATTACCCGAGACGGGTCAAGGGAGCCAGGGCCCCCTCAGTCATCCATGGCCAGACTTAAGAGGTCAGCTGGAGGGTGATACGGGCATAAAGGACATGAGGACACTCATAAGACCCATGTCCCTCACTCTACTGTTATGGACATGTTTGGAATGGTGTGTGAGGGTTTAAACAGACCCAGCCTCAGTAACCTTACTGACCACATCTGAAAGATAGACCCACAACTTCCCAGGCTTTGGTTTCCTGGGAAGCTGCTACTTCTAGCTTAAAGCCCTTAGGCAGCATCAGGCAATCTTTTTATTTGTATGTTTTCATTTCTCCCATGGTACACCTTGAAGCCCACGACAGTCTTCTGCCTGTAGAGTCAGGGGGTTCTTTCTCTAGATGGCCCTAATATCAGGGAAACTCTAGGATAATTAAGTCATAAGGAGTTGTTTTCCATCTGGGGGGGGTCTCAGGATCCAGATGAATATATTGTAAAAGCACCTTTGTATGGGGGGGGTCTAGGAATTGAGACTGGTTTCGTGTTTGTCCTGGTGGAACTCCTGGATTTTTTCATTATTTACTGCCTTAAGAGCAGCTTTGCAGAGACTGGCCAGGAGACAAATTATAAACTGTTTGTTAGCAAGGATGCACCCTGGGGTGTTGTAATTCCATTCAGGTTCCTAGTCAAGGACTGTCTTAGCCCTGGCTGGGTTGCTGGCATTAGTTATTTGGACTTCATCTGCGTGTGCCCTATCCCGGTTCCAGACTTGCCTGCACTCATTGGGGAAAATGTTGTTGGTGAGAATCACATAAACATGGGCTTATAAGATTTGGTAATATAATGTAATTCTTTAATAAAGATGGAGGTATTAGCAGTGTAGCACCACAATATCTTTTCTATTTCAGAGAGTTTGCATGAAAAGTGGATATGTACCCTGACCAAGCCATCACCCAGGCAAAGGGAGAACTGGGACCAGTTAGGCAAGGTAGGGGAGGGAAACGTGGTCCCATGGTAGAGACAGAGGACTAATGACTGCCAGTGGGCTGAAAGTTTGTGCCAGAAAGGGTTGATGTGGCAGCCTCTCACTGAGGAGGGAGAAAGGGAGACCAAACAGACCAGAGAGTGAAAGAAGGGACTGTGGGTTGAGGCCAATAAAGGGGAGGCTTGTTAATGTAATTGAAAATACTGGAGGAATTATCTGGTTTGTGCTTCATAGCTGGGAGAAGTTGTTTTTCCCTGGTTGGCTTATGCCATGTGTTCACTTTTTGTTTGTTCCTTTTTTGTTTATTTGTTTTATTTTGAGACAGAATTTCTCCGTGTAACAGCACGAGTCATCCTGAAACTCACTCTGTAGACGAAGCTGGCTCTAAACTCACAGAGATACACCTACCTCTGCCTCCTTAGTGCTGCGACTAAAGACATGCTCTACCACCAGCCGGCCAGTGGTCACTTTTAATCAATATGGGAGTGAAGTCACATGGAAAAATCCATCCTTTCTAATCCTAGCAAAGATAGCTGCCAGCTATGTGACTGCCTCTATCCCAATGGGGGACAGCAGATAAGATGGCAGCAAGCCACCTGTTTCCTAAGATGACATACATATAGCTTTTTGCCTGTCAACCCTGGCGTTATGAATTAACCCTTTAGTTACAGACTTTACAGTCTTTTAATCATATCCAATATGCTCACAAATCTTGAGATAAGATTTATACCTTAGCAAATCTTTTAGAGAGTTCAACCAAAACCAAAAGAGTATGAGATAAGTAGCAATAGTCCCCATTGGGAATGGTCTGCCCCTTTATTTTGTTTTGCTCTCCTTTCTTCATCTCCTATCAGATGGCTCCCCTGGTATGGGATGGAGATTTTGGAGGAAACCTTTACACAAGCATGTTTGCTTGCCTCTACAGGAAGGAAATCATAACCCAACTCCAAAGCCATCTTTTAATTGAAGTGAGACTGCATTAAACAACAGGCTAATGCTCCTCATACCTACAAGACACCTGACTATCCATAAAACTCAATCCAGTAAGCTGAGGGGGAAAAAAAGAAGGCTTAGAGATAGGAAATTTTTGAGCCCTGGCTATAGACAGAAGAAGCTGCAGGAGAGAGCAGAAAGACTACCAGATAGGGAAGAGTGTGTGTGGGACGTGTGCATATTGAAGCTGGCCTGATCCTTTGCTTTCTCCCCCTAGGTTTGGCTTCTGGCTCCCAATTGTTATCACACTTACAGTTCCGTTATCAATAACTGAAATGACAAAACATTTACATCCTGTGGGGTAGAGGTAGGGAACCAGACAAAAACAAACAGGGCTTAGAGCAGAGAAAAGAGAAATAGAGAATGGGGAATATCTTTCCATGTGCCTGATCATTCACAGGATTGTAATGGTCCCAGATAATGTTAGGTTCTAGGGTGCTATTAGTTGGCTCTTAAGATTGATTGTCTAAGGGGTATTGAGGCTAAAGTTGATAGCAAAGGCAGATAAATTTGGTATTGTAGCTGAAGTTTTCCTGTGTCCTGCCTGGCCTGCAGTTAGGACAAATCACTCTCACCCACCAGTCCCACAGCCACATTAGCTCAGGCCGATCACTGACTAGCTCCTACACTTGAACTCAGCCCATTTCTATTAATCCATATGTTGCCACATGTTCCGTGGCTTTACCTGTGTGCCATTACATGCTGCCCTCTGGATGGAGTCTCCTGACTCAGCCGTCCTCTTCCCAGAATTCTCCTTGTCTGCTTATCCTGCCTATACTTCCTACCTGGCTACTGGCCAATCAGCATTTTATTAATCAACCAATCAGAGCAATACTTCACAGCATACAGCGTGACATCACCCATCATAGTACCCTTCAGGTCAGGCATCAGTTGGAAAGGCTGGAGATTTTCTAAAAGACATCTCAGTTGGATTGAAAGGGTATGGAAGACACTGAGAGAGAGAGGCCTGGGAGGAAAAATGTCACTGCAGCCTGTTGTCTCAGGTATCCTAAGGACTCAGGGAGGACCAGAGGAAAATGTGAGCCATTTAGTTTGTCCTTACTGCATTCAGCAGGGGTCATGGGTTTAGTATGGCTAAGCCAAAGGAGAGAGTTGACAATGGATACCAAGGCTTTTATGAAAGCCAGAAGGCAAGGAGTACAGAAAGGAAGGATGAAAACTGGGCTCTAGGAGAGGAGTCTCATCCACGAATTGGGTTGGAGAATGGAATCACAAAAGCCACAAGCACCTAGAGCAGCTAGGGATGATGGGCAGCTCCAGAGGGGAGATGGGAAAAGAGGGAAGGAAGGGGTTGCTCAGTTGGGCCTAAAGATACAGCAAGATTTCAGCTCCAAGGGTGGAAAGACGGTTAGCAGAAGAGGACCATCCACAGCCTTGAAGACTGAGGGTACATCCTCCTCCAAGACTATCACAGTAATACCACCTCAGGGGTTCAGCCTCCAGGGCAGAACATTAGACTCAAAGGGAAATCCACAGCGTTGGCATAAGCTAAACATTTTCTATATGAGGGGTTAGGGAATGAAGACACTCACTCTTTTGATGGTTCCTTTCTTTACCTGCCATATTGATCTCACCATGCTGTTCTTCCTTGTTCCCTCTTCTTTTACTGCTTAAATACCCCGACCGAATCTTTCAGGCAATACAGGAGTCACAAAGGGGTACATTGCATTTCTCAAGTGAATGATTATAGATTAAAAAAAAAAAAAAGACATGTCCCAGACAGGGAAAGGCCATTCATACTAACCCATGACTATGTAAACATTTTGAACTAACACCCTACAATTAGATGTCCTAAATTTTGGATTTGCTTTGGATCTCAGAGGTGCCCTGGAGAGTGTCGAATTTCTGACAAGAAGATGCTATAAGTGTCATAGATTCTCTTGTTCAGGCATAGGTCAGCATTTCTGAGCTACCATAAATGTTTTAGTATCAGCTCACTCAGCACTTTTCATGATACTGTGGCGCTATGATGCTTAAATCTTAAAATTTACTTTTTGTCCTGAGTGTGACTCCTGACTGTCAAAAGAAATCTGTTGTCCTTATTGGGGCTATGGAGTCAAATTATTTTCTGTAGCCCTGACTAGTCAGAAACAGTCAGCCAGCTGAATTTTGAATCTTCAAGGTATATACCCACATCAGCAAATTGAGGTAAGGGATGTGCACAAGGAATTAATCATTTGCCAGCTAGCAATAATTGGGCTGTTTTTTATTTATGACCTGGCCAGACAGCTCAGCTATGTCCTTGTGAACTACATATTGTTTTACTGGAAATGTTTATTTTAAAAACCATTAACAAGGCATCTGGTCTAATCTAAAGCTATTTTGAAG